GCTTTCCTTCTTGTTCTCTGTTGTGGGGGAGTTAAGATATTTTACCTCCCCTCTCTTGTACTCAAAGTTTCACAATTTTTATAATCTAATAAAGCATTCTGTTATTGATCAAAAAAAAAAAAAAAACAATGGATAGTACTGAATAGAGCTGAATGGTAGAACAGGATTTATGTAGCTGACCCCATATAATTGGGGCAAGGCTTCGTTGGGTTCAGTTCAAATATTAATAACGACCCACTGATACAYCCATTTCTCTCTAAAGCCAAACATCCTCTCTCTCTCTCTCTCTCTCTCTCTCTCCCTATGTACATATGCACACAGAAACATACACCAAATTCCTAAACTTCAATGTCCTCCTAATATATGAACAGTAAAGTTTATTATTTGCAAGTTGCATGCTTCCCTTAATCATTCCCATTTAGGCTAGTGAACAAAAATAACAGATCCCAGCCTGAAATAGATATAATCAATACAACTTACTCTTAGAATTCACTAAAGGAGGTAGATGCTTTGATCATTAGGGCCCTCTCTCTAGTCTCTGGTGAAGCAATCATCATCCCTAATTGGAAATAGGATTAGAAGCAATTGTTATCTATCAAAAAAACGGATTAGAAGCAATACATAGAGCAACTTGATTATCATATTAAAGCTTTATATGAAGAGCGAAAGCAAAATCAACTTTCTTGTAAGGTGTTTCTAACAAATTATCTTATAAGCTGGATGCTCCATAGTTCAATATTCAGCCAAAGTTTTGCTTTCTTTACTTTTCCATTTGACTAAATTTCTAGGAATGCACAATACCTCATAGTGGACCTTCCATCTGAAGCAGATTGTGTCTAATCAGCTTTTGTATGCTCCTCAACCTGCAAATGCTCACTATCCCTACAAAGTAGGCTATCACTAGGGGCCTCTTTGTGTATATTGTTTTTGTTGCTTTGTCAAAGCATTTCTCTCTTTATCTCCTATCTTCCTTTTACTGTGTTTTTTTCTGGGTGGATAAACTTTGGATTTGGCCTGCCCCTTCATTACCTATACCAAAAAGATGATTTAGTATCTCTATGTCTGCATTCAAATGCTAGTGAGATAATCAACAAGAAGAAAATAATAACGTCCTAATTTATTGTTTACTAAATTATAGTATTCTATCTGAAAAATCCCTCACTTGTCAGTTCTCGAAGTAACAAGCTTGATGAGAATTTTGTCTTTGTAAGTTTCAGGTTTTCTAGGTGTGATTTCCATGGTCTTTCTATCTCTGCACAGGAAGTTGCATATTGTTCCTGCATTAATGTCTCTTACAGCTGGGAGTGCTGGAGTAGCAATAGCAGATGTAACAATTGATGCCTGTGTTGCTCAAAACAGTATAAATCATCCCTCTCTTGCTGCTGACATGCAAAGTTTGTGTGGACTGAGCTCTTCCATTGGGTCACTACTGGGGTTCTTCATCAGCGGATTTCTTGTTCACCTAATTGGCCCTTTGGTTTGTTCTTGTCACTCATTCTACTGATATTTCTAATTTGGAATTGTTTAATGCTTACAATGAATCTTTTCTTGCTTTGTTTATTTGTAATTATTGTGGTGCAAGGCATAGACTGAGTATTTGGTAAACAGAGTTATTTTTTTTTCCTGACAGGGGGTATTTGGCTTGCTTTCTATCCCATTTGTGCTGGTCCTTCTGGTTGGAATGTTGCTTAATGAAAATCGCATGCCAAACTTTTCCTATGGACAGGTATTATATATTCACTATACTTTTTCTTTTTGTTATTCTATGACTTCCCTCTTCTATAGCATTGTATTCTTAAGTGTTATTCAGAAACCAGGTACACCAGAAGTTGTTGGATGCCAGTAAAGCTATGTGGACTACACTGAAATGCCCAGAGGTATGGAGACCATGTGCATATATGTATCTGTCGCTTGCATTGAGCTTGAACATCCTTGAAGGAATGTTCTATTGGTACACAGATGCAAAAGCAGGTCCATCATTCTCTCAGGTACTTCAATTCTGTTTTTGTTGGGAAGCCTATAGGACAAAAGGACTTGTCGTAATTTTAGTCTGTCAAACTAATATTCCCTTTTCTTCATGCAGGAGATTGTTGGATCCATATTCTCTGTTGGCTCAGTAGGGTCCCTTCTTGGGGTGCTACTCTACCAAAACATTTTAAAGGACTATCAATTCCGTGACATGCTTTTCTGGACTCAGTTACTTTATGGTGTATCGGGGATGCTGGATTTGATGTTAGTGCTGAGGCTAAACCTGAAATTGGGCGTACCTGATTATTTTTTTGCTGTAATTGATGAATGTGTTTCTCAAATGATTGGGCGTCTGAAATGGATGCCCCTTCTTGTACTCAGTTCCAAGCTTTGTCCCCCAGGAATAGAGGGTACTTTCTTTGCTTTGCTAATGTCAATTGATAATGTTGGCATACTCACATCTTCATCAGGAGGGGGCCTCCTACTGCATATATTGAAGGTTACCCGTGTACACTTTGATAACCTTTGGCTGGCCATCTTGATCCGCAACATAATGAGAATTTTGCCACTCTCTTTTCTTTTTTTGGTGCCTAGAAGTGATCCCACATCGTCCATCCTTCCAGCTGAGATGTTAACGACAATAGAAAGCCAAGAAAGTGAGAACATTGAACTGGCTTCCCTTGTCAACAACACCTGATGAAAGCCAAGGTGAACTCTAACTACATATCTTTCAACCAAGAATGACAGTTGAACAAGGATTTCCTACTTCCTATCCATCTGAACTTACATGACACGGTGTTGCTCAAGCATTTCAATTTATCTCCCTGGAATGTGGAGTGACTGAAGAAACCTTTGCTTGTCCACTGACTGAGATCACAGTGGATAAGTCAGAAATTGTTGTTGTTCCCTGCTTCCTTCTTTGTTGTTCCTTACAGATTACACTTTTATTGCAAATTCATTGATTGTTAAATGGCTAGAATACACTAGTTTCTGAAAAAGTGATTCAACATTAATTGCAGATTTGAAATTGAGTAAAAAGTTCCCAAGTTTAGAATACAGTACCAATATTGAAGGTGAGAATCACATGCACTTTTTGTAATATTCTTTTCATTTTTATGTACTACACATCTTTCATCTTAATCCCCGTTCAATTTTACATTATGTAAGTAGTCTTACCTAAGATTTCTATTTTATTGTCTTGTATTTTATCACCTTTTCTTCTCAAAAAATTGAACAAGCCTCCAAGGAGATAGAGTGATCTTTATCTTTCCTTCTCAGTTCGTCAGCATGGGACATCTTTGCACTGGTTACGAATTATGGATTTCCTACCTTATCTCGGTAAATAAGAGATGCAATTTGTAGTGCAAGATAAAGAATTGGCTTCTCAGTTCTCACGTTAGAGTAAACGAGTGTTTAATGCCCAACAATTAGTGGCAGCTTTGGCAGGAAAGAGGGTAAAACCTGATGGATAGGGATCTCTGTCCAACTAAACTCATTATAGAAGTTGAGCTGGAAATTCAATTTACTACTCTTATCATAGCTCTAATATCATGCAAATATGAATAGCTACAGATAGGGATGTCAGTGGGTCGGGTTAGGTGGTAAACCCGCGTTGACCTGATCCTATTGGGTTAGGGTTAGGTCAGCCTTATTCATGTTTCGGTTGAGATCGCCCCATGCCAAGCCTGACCCATTGACATAGTAGCAATGGAACTGTAAGCATAGGAAAGTTCAAAGTATCTGTTTTTTTTTTTTGTCAGTTTGCAGCTTTACAAATGAACTTAGTAAAATGGGTTTAACGTTGAAGTCATTAAAGGTTCAAACTTAGTGCTCTCTTCAATAAATGGGTGGGAGTGAGTGAAATAGTGCTCTCTTCAATAAATATTTAGCATTCAGTAGAGTTTAAATTTAAGTCAATAATATAAGTGCAATCACACTGAAACAGCATGAGAAACAACCTTATACCTCTCTAGGAATGGAATCTTCTTCAATATGAGTACTGATTCTTGTAACAAACCCAGCCACCAACATAAAAAGTAAGCATGGAGAGGTAGGTGCTTTTGTGAAGTACATATTACAGGAGGGTGTTTTTAGTAAGTGTACAGTGGTGTTTATATCCTGATTAAAAGGAACGAGAATTTTTCCTTCTGGTCCCAGACAAATGGGTTGGAATCAATTTGTCAATACATGACAGGGGCAGTTATTTCCTAGGCATGGTAGCCTATTCCAAGCATCAACTTTTGRAATACTCTCTATTTTTGAAGTTTTATAGAAAAGATTACTGAATCTTTTCCTTATCTACATTAAAGAAGTAAATATGATGCCAAACTACTTTACTCAACGTCTACAAAGACATACAATGAACTGCAGTTCTCTCCACAAAAATTAACAACAATATGAACCAACAATTCATTATAAGCTCCTCCATGATAATTTAAAATAATATGAAGAAGCTGGCACTTAATGATTTCAAGGCTATATACTGGCTTTTGCCTCAGGGTAAATATATTCACAATTATAATTCCATTCCTGTCGGTTATCTATTTAAGTAAAATTGCAAATCTCTTCTGCAAATCCCAACCTTGTTTGCTTACTATCATAAACAATCCTCAGATTTTTCTGCTGAAAATTCCCAATAATCCCAACCTGATCTTCATAAGCAAGGCTAGCCACAGCCAAGCAGACTTGAGAAGCATCACTCTTAACAAAATAAAAGATCCCTGAAACATCTACATTCACCTGAACATCACCCTCAAAATGCATTTTTATTGTGGGAATGTTCACTTCTTCATACTCACTGAGGTTAAAGCATGTATTCAAGATGGAAAAACCTGGAGCTGGAGGGAATCCTGAGAACTGTTTCAGGAACTCAGATCTCAGAGCCCCGTAAACTGATGGCTTTAGTCTTGTAATAACAGTTCCAGAATCAATGAGAATTCTACCTTGTGCAAAACCTGGAGCTTCCAAAGCCACCCCGCCAATACTAATACCGGTGAGATTGAGAAAATAGAAGCTCAAGAGCTGTGGATGTGAAATCATTCTGGTATAAGAAATGGGTGTAGAATTCTTATAAACAGAAGAATCTCCACCCAGAGTTAATGAACCAGAAGCATCAGCTTCTGATGAAGGTAAACAGTAGGAGAAAACTCCACCAAACTTACTGAAAGTTTGAGAAACCAAGGAGAGCTTAGTCCTGCCCAAGCCCATGAGACCAGAAGCTCCCCCAAAGAGACCTTTGTTGTTCCGACCACAGCCGAAGACAAAACCTTCCATGACAGTGCCACCAAGATCAAGTCGCTCTCGTCCTAGCTCACCTCGAGTGTAGGACCCGTCTCCATACCTAACAAAATAGTTGCAGGTTCGTTGATCAGTTCCGCATACTCCCGAATTGCCAGTAGCTAATTGCAAAGTTTGGCAAGTGGATGTGTTACACAAAACCGACTGATACGAAGGGGAAATAGAAGGCTTGAAGAGTGGGTCTTGTTGGCCATAGCATGATTTGCAGGGGTCACACTGGACCCATGTGAGATCACTTCCAGTGTCGACGATCACTGTCATGTTCTTACCCCCCAATTCCACAGTAACTATGTAGTTTAGAGTCTGAAGTTTTATGCCAGAGGTCAGAGGGAGTTGAGCTTCGGAAAAACCTTCAGTCCTGCCAGAATCTGCTCTTTTGATTTGTGATTGGAGTGACTGAACCCGCAGGTCATCGGAAATTAAGTGCTTCTGAAGTTTCTTGTTCCAGTCTTTGACCAGTCCGGAGCAGTAATCCCGGTGCTTCATCTCCAACATTGTCACTCCCTTCTCTTTTCCTAAAATCCAGAACAGAAAATGAAAATCTGCTTCAGGTCCTGAAGTAGTGCAACCATCTCTCTAGACATGGATTTGAGTAGAAAGCTCCATTAGTAGAGCAAATTCTTGTACAGAATAAATAATTTCATTTCTGATGTTCTTTTATCCAAAACAAGTAGTTTCCATCAAGACAACCTTGAAAAGAACAAATTAAAACAGAAAATAAGACCCATAAAGCACATATATCAATTAATCCAGACAACCCAAAATTTAAGTCTCAGGCCCGAGCTTGATCCAAAGTAGTTGGGTTCCCTCAAACAACCTCGAAAGAAGAAAAATTTTGAAAGAAGGAAACAAAAAAATTGATTCACATAAAGCACGAGAGACCAATGATAGAACACAGAACCCGAAGTGGACAGTGAGTAAAATGTCAAGAAAAGCTATTAGCAACCAACCCAACGAGACTTGTATATCATGTGCTCTATGTTCAGACTTCAGACTTACTTGATTTCTGAGGCTGACAGCTTGAGACATGGTTTACGTCTCTCCATTGAAACTTCTTCAGATTGACCACATTCACCTCTTCAAAGCAGTGAACCCCTTCTCTCATACCGACAAGCAGAAAAGGAAGAAAGAGCATCAATGGAAGAAGACTTGATCCTTCTGACATTTTCAAGTTTTGTTGGAGAAAAGTACAGAAAGATGGGTTGCAAAGGAAAGACGAGAGACACAAAGAAATAAGAGGGAAAGGATAGAAGAAGGTTGGGGGACTGCAGAGATTCTCAGGTGTTGGAGTTTGGTATGAGAACAAAAGCAGAAGTGCTGGCCTCAGGACCCACCGGTGCATGGGAATTATTGGTGCTTCACGTGCTCATACACAACAAAAATCTGCTGCTCTCTTCAGCTGGATTTATGGTCTCGTGATGTGAAGACGGTAGAACATCACCCATCAGCTGTTCTATAATCCCAATGCTTAATATAGAACTCATTTTAATTTGTTTTGTATAATCAGAGGACTGCTGGGCGAGTCATGTAGCAAAGAGATTTAACAGGTGGTGACTGGAAATGGCTCCCACCATGTTGCCCAAATCATCTGATCATCAAGTTGCCAAGCTTCACCTGATAGAACCACATGGAGAAAGAGAGGTTTCTTTGATGGGGATAATATGTCTTAAGCAATTAAGTTCAAATTGACTCTAATGGCTGATGGCTTTCACTGCAGTCCAATCTATGGTTTATTATACAGAGCTCACATGGACATGGGCCCTGAAAGTGTCTAAAGTTCTTGGGGGGTCATCTATCTGACAGATGGTTTCGATTGGAAGCACAGCTTTCTGAGAACACTTGGCCAGAAGGCGATGGTAGTTGGCGAAAAGATCCGAATACAGTTGTTCAGGATTCATGTAGTCGACCCCATAGGCTTAGATGATATTCTTTTTATAAATATACTATTATACAGCATTCCATGGATGATTCCATAAAAGAAGAGAAGAATACCAATATATCATATGCAAGTCTTGATACAACAATTCATCAGGAGACTACAGTAAGTGTAGCCCTAAAACACCTTGGCAAGCTTGCTTATGGACAGAAGAATATTGATGTGTCATGATCAGCCAACTTGTCAAGAAAACCACAGTACCATGGGCCAAGAAGGTCAAAGCTCTTCCTCATCATCAAGCCTTGTCCCATTCTGTTCAGCGCCAAACTCATTGTTAAATTATGAGTGCTTATCAGAATTCACATTTGCACCCCACAGCATATTTCAACCGTGTATTGGAAACATTTTCCACTGACAATCGTGTATCGAAAAATGTTCCCAATGCATACTGAGATGTGCATGTGGGGTTTTTGTGAGATGCCCTCCGTGGGACGCAGATGTGAATTCCACTTATCCATGTTAAAAAGCTGTTTTTTTTTTCCTTTTGGTATTGGTTTGTGATGCAGTTTTAGCCCCATAGGGACCTGGTGCTATACCTAGTCAATGGGAGGATGCCCATAAGGTCCATTGGCACACAATGTGTCGAGCCTCTCTTTTTAATCTTGCAGCTCCACAATATAAAGATGCCTTACAACCAACTTGACATTGAGTGGATTGGCAAAATTTAATTGAAATTTATACAACTAAGCTTGTTTAGTAATTAGTAACAACATAAATCAAACTTAATGCCTTGGTTCTAAATGAAGGACAAGATCTATGCCAATTTGAGTGGCACCTATGTCGTCCTTAAGATGGTAGAAATTCAACAACCAGAGCTGTCATGTTAGTACTARCCTACTAGGTGGGAAATTTTGGTTTAGATTAAACCATAAATGAGGTTAGGGTTAAAAAAGAATAAAGAGAGACCAAACTGCCAATAGAATAATCAATCAAATCATGGATGCATATATAGCACTAACTAGCTTGTGATAGCCAAGTTCAATGTGTTTGGCATCTGAAGAAATGGATTCACGGCCATTTTAATAGTGGTATAGGAGGGTAAAAATAGATCAGATCAAATAAGATGTACCTAAATCCAACTTCATTTATTAATTAACATCTTGATTCAAAATGGATTCAGATATTGAATAACCTTAACAAATTAAATTAGCAAAACTATCATATCATTTATATAATTTAATAAATGAACTAAAAATGAGTAAAAGACTTTGATCAAAACGACTTATAGGTATATATTAATTTGATGTAGATATAARCGTATGCACATCTATTTATATATCATTCGAACAGATGGTACCAAATTGGATTGGGGTTAATTCAATATTGATCCAATTATAACTTCCCTCTACTCCCCTCTCTACTAACCCATTAAAATTATTTCAGCTGTCACTAAGTCCTATCTAGTGTAACGATTGACTAATGCCTTAATTAGTCCCTCCGTTAGATACTATTTCAAAGAAACACCTATTTTTATGCATTAATTAAATATTTTTAAAAACAAAAATATAATAATTGTGAGTGGTCTGTAACTCTTTTTTCCGATGCATGAATTTGTTTTACTAGGCTTAGAGAATTAATTTGCATATAATTAAAGAGARAATGAGAAATTTGCATACAATTAAAATAGATATTTTGTTTTTATTTCTTTTCTAAGCCTAGTAAAGCAAATTCATGGATGGAAAAAGAGTTACAGATTGGGGTGAGCAAAAAAAAATTGAAAAACCGAGTTGACCGAAAAAACCGACTAAAACCAAACCAAAAAATCAGTTAATTGAACCGGTCGGTTTGATGTTTTTAAAAACCAAAGGTACYGGTTTAGTTTCGGTTAACCAATTTAAAAAACCGGCAGTTAACCAAACCAACCGGTATACATGTTTTTCTATATATTTATGTATATTATATATTTTATATATTATAAATTAATAAATACACATTATATAATTTATATATATTATATTATTTATTATTTAAAATATAATATTTTATATATATTTAAAATTTTTTATTATATTTATACATATTTTTATAATAAAATATTGTAAAGTCAAAAAAACCAAAAAACTGATGAATCGAATCGTCGGTTAACCGAACCGGTCAACTGGTTAACCGACTGATTTCGATTCGGTTCCRGTTACCGATTTTCTAGAAACTAGTATTACTGATTCGGTTCACAAAAAAAGGCCCATGGTTCGGTTACCCAAACTATAAGCACCCCTAGTTACAGACCACCCAAAATTATTATATTTTTATTTTTAAATATTTAATTAATACATAAAAATAAATATTTCTTTAAAATAGTATCTAACGGAGGAATTAATTAGGGCATTAGTCAATCGTTACACTAGTAGATAGGACTTAGTGACAGCGGACTGATTTGAGTCACCCAAATGTTGCCATAGCTTAAGGATTTGGCGTATCCAAGACAGAGCCAAGTTTAATGGGTCCAAACCAACTATAAGAGGCCCATCTTTAAAAGCATTGATTAATTTCTAGGAGGGCTGTTGACGGAGTCTGAAATTCTGAATATATATCCAAGATTTGATCCGATTATTTTGGATTTGGGTGAGCGAATTGGATTCAGATTTTACAAGTTGCATTGTTTAAATAATTGGATCAGATGCAAATCTAATATTATTGGATTTTTGGATCTGATTATGATCCGATTTCAATTCAACTTTATATTTTATAAATATAAATAATTGTATAGATACATTTGCATAAATAATATATATAATTATAGTTTTTGATAAGTCAAAAACTACATTGACTACACAAAACAGAATATACAAATTGTTCAATACATAAAGGAGGAAAATCCCACCAAACCACCATGCATCATGTCTAGAAAGGATTTAGCCTCTAGAGCTAACTGAAAGTTGTAGCAAATATTATATATATTTTCATTATATTTTATATTATCATATATTATAAATTAATAAATATATAAATATATGGTATATTATTTATTATTTAAAATATAATATTTTATATGTATTTCTAGTTTTTTATTATATATATAATTATTTATAATATATATTATAAATATAAAAAACAAAAAAACCAATGAACCAAATTGACGGTTAACCAATTGGTTTCGGTTACCGGTAAATTCCTAAATAGTACTTTGAACTTTGGGGGTTGTGGCAAGTCAGTCCCCGAACTTCAAAACGTGTCTTTGCAATACCCTGAACTTTCAGATTGTATCTAATAGGTCCCTATTGTTAGCTGACCATCAATCAACTCTGTCATGTGACATCAAATGCACATTAAATAATTTCAAAATGGCAAAATTACCCTTTATGGTATTTTTGACCATTTTACTCATTTCGTATGAGTGTTATCATCTGGTTACAATTAATCGTTAAATGGGGGAGCTTGAACAGGGGAGCAAGAGCTTCAATGGTTGATCGGTGTTCGATTTCATAACCCTTCTTCCCCTTTCCTTCTTTTAACACTTAAACAAAATGGATAAAATGGTCAAAAAATACCATAACGGGTAATTTTGCCATTTTGAAATTATTTAATGCACACCTGATGTCATGTGACGATGTTGACAGACGGTTAACTAATGGTCAACTAATGATAGGGTCTTATTAGACACAATTTGAAAGTTTAGGGTACTGTAGAGACACGTTTTAGGCTGTGTTTGGAACTGATGTAAAATGTCATTGGTGTAAAAGTACATCGATGACGTTTTACATCGAACTGTTGGCATGTGACCGTTTGAATTCGAAAAGTGTGATAAGAAAAGTAGAATTTTGCATCGATTTTGCTGATGTAGTATTTACATTGATAATCAATGTAAAACTTTACTTTAGATGAAGTTTTATGCCATAAATTCCACTCCATCCAAACATATGCGAAACCGAATCGAAGTGGAGTTTTACGTCAATCTTGATTTACACTCCTTCCAAATGCCAACAAAACCAAACCAGCTTATTTACATCATTCTTGATTTACATCACTTCTAAACACAGCCTTAAAGTTTGGGGATTGACTTGACACAACCCCTAAAGTTTAAGGTACTGTTAAGGAATATTCCCTTTATAAAAACTGGTAGTACCCTAATTATATGTCCATCAAGGTCTGGGATCTAATAAGACATTTGCTACATAATCTCCCAGCCATCAATATCTAACACTAGGACACATGGAAGGACTTATTCCCTCAACACATAACCCAATGTCACATCCTCTTATCAATGGATCTTGAGAAAGAATTATTTTGCAAACACCTTTGCAAAAATAAATTATTTATAAGTAAATATATACATTTGCAAAGTAGACCTCAATAACATTTTGAAACATCCACTATTTACAATTTTGACTATCCACTGC